CCAACTTCGGAATGTCGTCAGTTTAATCACCTTGTCCTTCCTTTCTTCTCTTCATAATGAACTTTCTAATTTGAGGATGTAGGGTAGTAGGCTTGGGTTTACGCCCAATTTACGGTTATCCCACATCTCTGTATTACTATGTACCGAAGATATACTGCAGTGAGTGGGGTAGATGATAGCTCACAAGGCATGATGTCTTTTCACAAGCCACGGAGCAGCGACTCTAGCTCTTGTGAGCCGTGATAGCTTCAGTTTTGGAGCGCGCTGCTGACAAAGCATGCGTCACGTGGAAAAGGTGGATCCAGCTTGATGATGACATAAGATATGGCTTTGGCGGGGCACAGATCGGCAGTGCACGGAGCAGCAGGAGCCTGAGCCGTCGACGGGAACTTGGAGAGCTCCGACGGAGCCTGGCGGGTGGTTGCTTTCTGAATGGTTCTCCTGTCGACAGCAGCTTGAACAGCCTCATCTTGCGACAGGAAGCGGGACTGGCCAATTTATGTTCGATACTCTTTTTCTAGAACTCGAGAATAGACCAAACGTGGCCAAGCTAGAATACCTTGAACCTCAGTTAGACAACAGCTCCGACAAATCCACAAACCGTACCTTCGAACCATCATCATGGACTACGTTGACAAGCGACTCCAGGAGGAAGCAGTGAAGCTGCACGTGGACCAAGGGCAAGTCAACAAACCTCTTATACGGTCGACATCAATCAGCTAACCTCAATGTCCCAACAGCAACGCCTTCTTCACCCCCCTCAACATCCTCTTCCTCCTCGTGAATATCTACACAATCTACGTCCTCCTCCGCCCGACCCCGCCTCCGGTCCTCCCGAAAGAGCCACCCGCGACCGTCTTCCGCGTCTTTAACCCGCGCACCCTCCTCCCCTTCACCGGCGAGAACGATACCCCCATCTACCTCGCCGTCCGCGGCCGCGTCTTCGACGTCTCACACGGTCGCAACTTTTACGGCCCCGGCGGACCCTACTCCAACTTTGCCGGCCGTGACGCTTCGCGCGGCCTGGCCCTCGGCAGCTTCGATGAAGATATGTTGACGGAGGATCTGGACGGCCCGTTGGACCCGCTTGAGGGACTGGGACCTGACGAGATTGAGGCGCTTCAGGGATGGGAAGAGAACTTTGACAGCAAGTACCTTGTTGTTGGCCGGCTAACTGCCGTCGGTGATGAGGACAAATAGACTCAACATTGATAATGTTGGTAGGATTGACAACGTGCTCTTTTCCCGCAGGGCTTGAATAGACTCAAATGTTGAAAGGGAACTGTTTCTGACCAGGGTTCGCAAAGTTCTGATGTTCTCGGTGTCACGCGATTCAATGTGGACAGCCAGTACCCAACCCAACTACGTTGATTCGACACGTTGTGCAGGGTTCGAGAAGCTGTCTTGTACCTCTCCGCTTCTCGAATCTCCCACAGGGACTTGAACGCATCAGATATGGCAATACGACATCATGTACTCGATAACCAGTTAAGCGCCCACGACTCCGCCGAGTGCTTCCAGCGAGATTGACAGCCGGCCCGAAAAAATCAGATTCCACAACATGCATTGTCGCTCTGTCTATTGTTAAGACACAATAACATGACGCAAGGGAGCTGCGTGGGGAGGCAGCCGCCAAAAGAGGGCCGCTTTCAGGTTAGTCAGATTATAGCGTCACCAGGAGCCAGCGAGGGAAAATCTTGAGTGAGATGAAATAATGCTGACAGCCTGACAGTGGTGGCTGGACCCCTCCCTTCCCCTGTCCCTTCTGAACCAGTTTCCTTTCTCCCCCCCGTCGAAGCTTGCGGTGAAGCTTCAGCGCAGGCAGCGATATTCAGGAGATTGGGATCGCGTGGCTTGACGGTTATTTTCAGGCCGTTATTGCAGCCTCCGAATGACCGTGCCATGACTCCGCGGGTGATCCTTCGTTCTGGACACACTGTCGATGCCCGCGACCAGCACCTTGCGTGTGGTCAACTTACTGCCTCCGGTTCCAGCGGCATCCGGGTTGCCGGGGACGCTGAGCCACGGGGTTTGGGGCATGAGATTAAATGAAAGTACCCGGACGTTTGCTTATGTCAACTCTCTGCTGATGGTCTCGGGGAAGTTGCTCTGTAATGATGATTGACTAGACTGCTAAGACATTTTGTCTCAGTCTGAACGCGATCGTTGTTCTTCACTCCTGTCACCGAGAGAAGACGACGATTCACCTTTCACCTTCCCTCACAGGCATCAAGATTCCACGACAGAGGGCCGTTTCATTCTCCTTCTCGTCTTATTCAAGTATGCCATTCTCTACAAAAAGACCGGAGGAACACAGCAGGACTGGGTGTGTGTGGCTGACGGTCATCCAGCCAGCCCAGACGACTGGGGCTTGTGAACCTCTAAAATTAGCCCCGGTTCATCGAATCCGGCAAGGGTTGCAGATCCTCCGACGCTATGCTCCAGTCTGCTTCGTTGTCCCGTCCCGATTCCATGTATTCGATCTCACCCACGTTCCTCTTAGAGAAGCATCTTTCATCGGTTTGCTCGAGTTTCCCTTACGGAACGTCCAGAAGCAAACACAGCCCCTGGACAAGATTACTTCGTGCCTCGGCCAGGCTCTTGTCACCTCATGCATCTGGTTCCCAACCTGTGTCTATGAATGGTTACATGTACCTGCGCTGATGCTCAGCCTTCAGCCCTACATATACGCAAAAAAGAGAAACGAACCAAACATCAATGAGCAATGGCAGAGAAAGAAGGGAAACAAGCTTCCCTCTCCCTGGTCCATCGCCTGCACTGCACCGCTGCATTCCCACCCTCCGTCATTCTCTAGGCGCTCTCCCCGTGCCCATTGTCTCCATGTGAGAGGTATCCAAGCCTCAGCCTCCAATCCGTCAATCCGTCCGTTGTTGCGCTAGCGACTCCAGCCATTCCTTTGCTCTAGCTCGGCTCCAGCTAGATTCATAATCTTTGTTCCGGACGGTATTCCTTAAAACCCTCCGTCACGCCTCCTTCATCATTCCTTCTACTAAGTACTCGGTATCTCTGCGAATTTGTTTCCCCCACTTGCGGCCGAACTCAACCAGCACCCCTCAACCTGGCCATCACCATCCCTGCCCAGCAGACCCGAATGCGTGGATATAGGCACAACAGAGACTCTTTCAGACGACGGAGTCAGTAACACTGAGATACTGCCTCAACCTGGATTGGAAACCAATTGAGCGAAATTCGATTCAAACTTTTGTCGAGGCCTAAGTGCATGACACGCATTGCCGATCTCTAGCTCTACGCAGTAGCCCACCACCCAAACAGCGATCCATCTTCCGGCCCCCCCAAAACCACCGGTTCACAACCATCAACACCATCGACTCGAGATCAGAGCAGAGAGAGCAACACTTTCCTCGACTCTTCACAATGGCGTCGGCGCGGAGGAACACAACTACGAGGAGCCTGCTCAGCATCCTACTCCTCGCAGCACCAGCCCTCGCAAAGTACCAAAACAACTTTGACCTATATCCAGCAGCAGCCCAACCATGCCTCTACGCCTCTTCAGACGCAAGCAAATGCGACGGCGATACAGTAGCGACAATGAACAAGTGCCTCTGCAGTGACGACAAGGGCAAATTCGTCACGAACGCAGCGACATGTCTGGGAAAGGAGGCAAAAGATACCCTGCGCACAGTCTACCAGTCAATGAGCACCGCCTGCTCAGACTCCAAGACGCCGATATCCATAACCGAAGACCAATTCCTCAACCTCGGCGCGACGGGTGCTACAGCATCGCTATCAGTAACTTTATCCACATCAAAGACAGCAACACCTACAACCATGATGACGACCACCACAGGCGGAGCTACCATCACCCTCACCTCCACACCTACACCCACGACATCGACTCCAGCAGAGGAGAATAAAGGCCTAAGCACAACCGCCAAAATCGGCGTCGGCGTCGGCGCCGGCGCAGGAGCCATCGCCCTCGTCTGCCTCGCCGCCTTCATCTGGCGCATCAAGCGAAGCCGCGACGCCCACGACGAGTCCCACCGCCCGATGCTCGGCGGCGGCATTGGGGCCACGGGCCACAATAACCCACAACACGGGCCCTTTACCGAATATAGCCCGCCCGCCAGCGTCGCCGGCGCCGGGCCGGGTGGATACGCCGCGTACACCGGTGCGCAAGAGTACAAGAACGAGAATAAGCAGCAACAATCAGGCTGGAGGCCCGTCTCCGAGATCACGGCTACGAGTCCCGGTGGACAGACGTGGGCGACGAATTCTCCGCAGCCGCCGTATGCACATCTCCAACTGCAGCAGGGGGCAAACTTGGGTGCTTGGGGCCATCATCCGCAAGCTGCGTACGTTGCTCCGCCGCAGGAACCCGCTCAGCAGGAGGGCGTGTTTGAGCTTGCTTCGATACCTGTTACTTCGCAGCCTCCTTCGCATGTGCCGCAGCCGCCGCCTGGTGCTGTTGAGATGCCGGCGACGGAGGTGCAGCCGCAACCGGCGCGGTATCAATATCCTTCACAGAGGCAGTGAAAGGACAAGGATGATCTAAAATGGGCATAAAGGGGTGTTTGGAGGGATGTATATACTACTATGATACCTTGGGAAGCATTTACACACACGGGTGTCTCGGTGTTCTGGTTCCTGGTTGGGACAAATAGATAGGGGAAAGGAGAGGGAAAAGCCATGAAATATAACACACTTTTGATCCACCTCAAACTTCCTCATACCCCGCGATTGACTGCATCTTGAAGCAATTTTGAAATCTTCATGGTCACTTTACCCACTTTTCCTATGTAGCATATAAGGTCTGACGGTGAGACTTTGATCATACTTAAGCAATACTCATGGTATTGATTTTGACTTGGCTTGCGAGGGAAGCTACCACTTGTAGAGCTTATCGAGATACTATTGGCTACGTAAGCTCCTGCCCGCTTAGCAGATAAGTTGAGATACTGGCACGACTGGAGTCATTACTGAGCTCAGTTCATATTCCAACTGTAGCACAGCTCCCATGACTACTTCTTCGAACCGCCGCCCGAGCTACCACCAGAACCTCCACCAGACTGTCCGCCAGAGCCGGCCGAGTTGCTTTCAGTGGAAATGCCCAATTCTGCCCAGAGAGGATCGTTAGGGAAGTGCATCTTGGCTGCTGTGATAGCTCTTTGGGTTCTCTCGTCCTAGTATCCCTATTAGTTCCGGATGTGCATGAATTCAATATCTTCTGATGAGAGAGGTGGGTGATTCTTACATCCTGACCCCAATTGAAAATGAAGCGACGCACAGCGTCTGGCGTCATCTTCTCCTTTTTCTTCGAGCTCATTAGTTACGCTGTACCTGCTGGTATTTCAATCCGTTCCAAGTCTCCAATTTCCTTACATGTTTGCCCATTGTAAAGGTTTATCAGCTTGTGTATCGTCTTATGCTTGGAGGCCGTGTCTGTTCTGCCTAGCAGGCGAATTGTATGTGAAAGGTTGTTAGGTTGTGATGCTGTGTGGAATCAGACAAGCTTACAGAATGATGGCTAGCCATTAGCTATTTATGCTTCCCATCCTCACATGTCAAGCTCAAGCTGAATATCGAGCGGACTCAACTGCGTCAGGAATTGAGAACTTCAATCACACAGTGTGGCATTCTGCCCAGAAGTTTGCGCGTGGCGGTGAATGCAGCCCATTGAATCAAGGCTTGTTCATGACGAACAAAGGCTCATGCTTCCGAAGGCAGTATGAGGCGGTTCAGGTGCAGCGATGAATGACTTACCCTCAATTTATAGCCGATCTTGCCAAAATGAATAGCTCCCTGGTCGCTTTTCCCCCCGCCACATTCAAAGTTTTGCTTGCTCAAATTGTGTGAATAGCTGCTCTCAATTGCTTTACTCTGTCAAAGGATGCAATGGCTATACCGCCAGGCGCAGACATTCACGACGCGGAGAAGCATTTGCCAACTTTTCCATCTGAAAGAAACTCCTCTATAGGTTTGTTCTCCATGACTCCCTGTTCAACAACGCCTGATCTCAGCATGCATTCGGCATCAGGAAAGTCTCGTGACCTTCAAGGAATTCGCACATGTGCGGCCAAGCTTGTGGTGGCCTGCAGGACTGCGGGCGCAGCAGGTGCTTGGGAACGACCAACTAGGTGTCATCCAACCCATGATGAATCGTCTTTCATCCCTTGCTCTCTTTCGTTGATCACACTCGCTTTGAGGAGTCATGCTGCAGCGCTGGATGGCAGCTTGTCACTGCAGACCCCAGTCCGTTAGACCACACCAGCAAACACATAATGTGTACGACTGGCGTGAACATACATCTATTGCCCACAATATCTTGAATTTCAATGTGATGACTACTTTACCCTCAGGTACATCTCGCAGGAGAAGAACAAGGAGGCAGATCTCGACTGAAACCCGATATCTGTAGGGAGCTCAGCCCTCGTGAAGCCGCGTAGAAGTGATATCCATATTGGCAATCTAAACTGACGGACTAGAGGCTTCTAAAGCAGGGCTTCCAGGAAGGCAGAGCGTTCAAAGAGGACCCACGCGGGCCAGGCACGGTAGAGGAAGTAGTGACAAAATACCGGCATCCAGCCCGGATCTACCTACTCCGGCCCAACCCGTAACACCATGGAGCATTTTGTTCCAAACAGAATATTTTAGGCCTCCTGCGAATAAAGCTCGTCAGGATAAATGATTGAGTAACGGGGCAGTGAAAATATCAATTATGTACCGTTTACTGGAGACTAGAAGCATTTCTTAGATAAAATATTACATGCTTGTGGGATTGCCCCTTGACTTCCTCATCCGCCACGAGATGTCAAACTGGCAATTGACCAAGCCGGGTGGCATGACCACTACCGCGCTGGTTACTGCCAGGGCCAGCATCCTTGCCAAAGGGATATGTTCAGGCTTCTTTGGCTGCCCTGCTGCCTGGCCTACGGTCCAAAGCCTTGATTATTCTGTTAGTAGTAAACTTCATATTACCAGACTCATTGATCACAGAAAATCACTCCCATGCATCCTACTAGTCCGAAGTGATGGCAACAGGACGAGGACCGCACGAATATTTGTCAACATATTTGGTTGGATGTCCCTGGAACCATTCATAATTTGGTCAATTTCTGCAACGCTCGTTGTATCCGCCTGCTGTATAGACCTTTGCTCCCCATCCTGCTAATTCTTCTGATCCTGGAGCTCTTATCAGTCCCACCAAGCCTCTACGTGGCGTGCACTATGGGTACATGTAACTTGAACATCACTTTGGTGTTTCCTCTTTCCTTAACATGATGATTGTTTATCGCGTTGGATATTGTTGTGATAGTTTGATTGGACTGATTTGGGATTGATTTGTGATATGACGGTCATATGAGATCGGAAGAATTGACAAGAATGAGTCCTGTCACTTCACGATATTTCTGCCCCATGTTCTCACGAGAATTCATATCCAGCAAAGTCAAAACTCCCAAGTGAACAGTTTTTATCCCAGTGACATACGATTGGACAAGCTAAGTGCCTAAGGTATCATGTGGCGGTAAACAGGGCTTGTTCACTCAATGACTGTCCTCCACGAACAAAGGAGCATATTCACCCGACCCAACACAGCGTAAAGATTTGATCGACCCCAGGCAGATGCTAGTCGGCTGGCAATGCAGATGAATGAATCCTATTCAAGTCGATCTTGAGCCTCAAGTTGGAGGCGGTTGCATCAAGGAACACGATTGTTCAATGATTTAAGATCTCCTGATATGAGGTTGTTCGTATCCTTCAAACATTCTTTGATAGGCTAGCACGACGGTTGTCGAGCGTAAAAGGTACTTATCCAGCCATTGATGCGATGCATGATCTAGCATCACCCTGTTGGCCACCCTTGTCTGCATTGTTCGATGTTCGGTTGCAAACATCACTACTCTACACGTACTTAGATTGCCGATGCAATCGTGCTCATACCATAAGATAGAAGAAGACGTAAAGGGCTTTGATGGAATTCAACAGTCCTATGCGTGGGCCGGACCAAGCACATGATTGCCCCCAGCCGTATGTTCGAGGTTTCTTTGTAATTCCTCCAGTGGCGGTCCTCTCCGTTCCGTTTGGACATGTAGTATGTGGAGTAGGCCGGCTGTTGACGCCATCGCATGGCTGTTCGCTTTTGGGTATCGACATCCGCAATCCAGCTCAAACCGCACCGGGGAGCAATATACTTGGGTGGAATAGTCAAGGCGGCAATGACCTGCAGACGGAATTGACGAAGACAAGTGGCGAAGCAAAATGACGCGGCTGAACAGCGAAAATCTTCGGAGAGATTTTGCAACGGACGCGTACCATGTCAGCAAGAACGCCAACGGACTTTCTGATATGTTGACATGTTATCAAACCGCATTCCCTCTGTGCAGCCGTATTGCGGCCCGTATATTGAGAGTCGCATTATCTCCTATTTGCGTTAGGACTGTACGAGTCTATCTTTGGGGCGTCTACCCAGACAGTCACTAGACGATTTATGGTTAGTTGGATACGAGAGTCCGACCCCGTTACCAATCGGGAGCTCTCGCTTCGAGAGGCTCTGACTGCACCTGGCTAGGTGCCAAGAAGAAGGCGCAAGGGGTCAACGCTGACTTGATTTCGCAGTCTTTCGGTGTCAGATGCGAACTGGCGAATCATGCCATGTGGCTTTCGGGATTGAGGCTATGTTGACATGAGGATTGTAGGCTGTCGCGGTCAGGTCGTAACTGTCTAGCCCCTTTCCGAATAGGGCTGTCGACTGAGAGAGTGCGAGAGGATTGGAATTTTGGACATGCTGTTTTCGAGGATGCGAAGGACGGAGGGAGCGCGTAGAGATATATGTATGTGGACGGGATCGCATCAATCTGATCATCTCACCAACCTTGCAACGTAGTGCATCCAAAGTCCTTTCTGTCTCAGCTCCCCTCCATCGTTGCCCATCTGGTCTTTACAAATCAATAGACAAAATGTCGGAAGTTTGCCCTCTCTTAACTAACGCCAACTGCACGGTGGAAACATGCCCCCTCAGCTGCGCTCAAGTTGAATACCTTCCAACTCTTGCCGGTAACGCGGTCTACGCGGCAGCTTTTGGGCTGCTCCTGATCGCCCAGATCGGTCTCGGTATTCGGTATAAGACATGGGGATTCATGGTTGGCATGGTCTGTGGTCTCGTCCTCGAGGTCGTCGGATACGCCGGCAGAATCATGCTGCATAACAACCCATTCGACTTTAACAACTTCATCATGTAAGTTTTCTACCCGCCGTTCCTCAACCTCTAAGACCTCTGAAGGGACCTGACAGAACGACTGTAGCTACCTCGTCCCTCTTACTATCGCGCCCGCCTTTCTCGCCGGCGCCCTCTACCTTTGCCTCTCCCGTATTATCATCGTCCACGGCCAGCACATCTCTCGCTTCAGCCCGCGCACCTACGCAATCACCTTTATGACGAGTGACTTCATCTCCCTCGTTCTACAAGGTGCCGGCGGCGGTATTGCAGCTACCGCGAACACACACTCTGGCAGCGAGACAGGCAGAGCGATGATGGTCGCAGGTGTCGTGTTCCAAGTCATATCCCTGCTCGTCTTCATGCTCCTGTGGCTGGAGTTCGTCTTCCGCCTTCGCAAGACAACCGAGGGTAACAAGGGTGGATCACGCTTCGCTGAGCTCAGGTCGACGAAGAAGTTTTTCTTGTTCCAGTGGGCGCTCGGCGCGGCTGTTCTGCTCGTTTTCATCCGCTCGGTGTACCGTGTCGCGGAGTTGCAGCAGGGCTTCAACGGGCCTATTGCCAATGACGAGGTATCTTTTATGATCTTGGAGGGTCCCATGATTTTCCTAGCAATTCTCGCGGTAACAGTATTCCATCCCGGTATTGGATTTGATGGTCAGTGGAGCAGCGCGGCTTGGTCTGTCAAGCACTCCAGGAAGACTGCGTTCGAAATGAGCAGTTCGTCCATGGAGGAAATTCAAGGAAGCCATGCTTGAGATTGGTTAGACGAGGGCAAGGATTTGAGAATGGTTTTGGGTATTTCGTAGCAGATGGAGTAATGGACATGGACTATGGGTTTAAATATTCGACTGTATTGATGGCGAAGAAAGTATTGGCTGTAAAATAAGGAAGGCTCTAGAACATAGAAGATATGGACGAAATTGATAAATATCCACCAAATCATAGCTTGATATATTCCGTGAAATTCTGGAACTCTCCAAAAACACCCAGCGGTCTCGTTTGGAACTTTGCCTCAAGCGTGCCGGGGCACGTTGGGCTGGCCACTACGCTGTGATCGAACGTCCTAAAGTCAAAGGGCAGCTCGC